ACTGCACTTTTTGCATAGTCTGTTTAATCCAACCAGATAAGACAAATTACAAGTATTAAATCAATTTAGTGTTGCAGCATAATATTTTCTAACTTATTGATTGATTTGTTTAGCCTTCACTATTCAGATGTTGAAGTGGCCTAGCAGCAGTTTTAAGAAGACTCATAAATTCATATTATGATTTATATAATAATACCGATTATAATTCTTAGTATTAAGTGCATATGCTACACAGCAAAACTTTTCAAATAGATTAAAATAACAGAAGCATAAATGTACTGCATATTGGTTGGAACCCAGCAAACAGGGAATGTTCTCAAAACATCATCTAACAATCGGGCCCTGTTCTCTCAAAGTTATGAACAAATGTCCTTCTAATAACGCAAATAGAACATTAGCCCTGTTTCTCTGATGTTCTAACATCTGGTCTTTAATAATGTTCTCAAAACGTTAGCACAAATACATTAATAATACATCATTCTGGAATTTTTTTTTCTGAAACATTTTAGTTGGACATGTTTAGGGAACAGTAACATTCGCATAATGTTTGCAAAATGATAAAACTGAATGTTCCCTAACTGTTCACATAACTAAGGGAAAACAAAAGGTTTTTATATTACTTTTTTTAAAATCTGGATGTTTTGAAAGTTCAGAAAACATTTAGAAACAATATTTTAGTTACTTAATATGAATGGACAAAACGTTCTTATATTATAATTTTGTTAGCTGGAAATAATCCAGTTGGACTAAAAGCAGAAAGAAAAGGGATGATCAACAACAAAGCATATAATATCTCAGTTAAATATGTTTTAGAAATATCAGGCAAAAAATGTGGATACGGTTATGCTCCAAAACTCAAAGTGGTGTAAGGCCAGTAATGCAACTTGTCACCGGCACCGCTGTCAGGAAACTGCTGTGATGTGTGATTCTAGGGCTCTGCAGGTGGACAATATTCAAGTACATTGCCTTGTAAGAAAATATAATTTTAGTATTCTCCTGTGGAAAATCTGGCCTATGTTTAAAAATAGGCTTGTTTTTAAAATAACAGTTAATTCCTCAGATTTAGGTAGTGATGGTTAAAGGATTGTCAAACACTTTAAGTAGGTCTAACTTATTATTAACCTAAACTTTATTAATTCTGTGCAGTAATTTGGGAGGAGCAGAAGTCATTTAGTAAATGAAAACTCATTTGGTAAATCTATCGGCAAGCCCATTTGTGGAAACATCTTGAACAGGAAGAAAAAGTGCAGTAACAATGTTCCATTGTGTATTCCCATAACATCAGTCATTTGAAATAACAGGTTTTGGAACGCAAATTCAGAGGGATAATGAGGTCTGATAATGAAAGCTGGGACGGGACAAGGAACAGCCACAGATAAAAGAAAGTGAGAAGAAATCTGTTTTCGGGCTTGGTAATGTTTGGCCCCTACAGGGCACTGTCATGATTAGCACTCCATATATTTCCATAATTCCTGTGATGCTCTTAAATGTCCTGCTGTGTGCATCTTCAGGAATCTTAAAATGCAGTAATGATCAGACCTGCTGTGGGTCTGGCCAGCGACACCCCGCTGGTTGTAAGCAAGACACGGTACAAACGCTATCTTCATAATGACGCTGATAATAACTAACAACTTTCTAGTATGATAAGACTTTAAAAACAACAATTCAAAAAGTCACATGATGCATTTCTTCCAGCAAACTTTTTACTTTGCATGAACAGGCCAAATAAGCTGATATTATTTCATAAGGCCAGTGCACATCTAAGACGACGAAGATACAGAATAAAAGAGATGGCCATTATGGACCAATTATTTTGTGACGCTGGATGAAAACTCTGTAATCTTGTTTCTTTCAGTCTCTCTAGATGGTTGTGATATCTGCTCTATTAGCAGCTGTATTGACAAAAGCAGCAGACCTGGCTGTGGAGTGTCAGTAAATAGCTCTCTGGAAGCTGATGAACTGTCTCCAATACAGTGCAATAATTAACTCTGAAATGGATTTGGCTTTCTATCTAAAGAGAAAAAATAGCTTTTGTTATTCAGCCACTCTGCTTACTGATCACACAGAGAATCCAACTGCTTTCTTTAAACCTGTTGAACACAGCTCTAACACTGAGCAGGCTTTAATACTGTACATCTTGTCAATCCCAGCAGTGAAAAATTGAACTACAAAATGACTTCTCTCAACGTGACACAAAAGCGGACAATAATGAAAGGCCACTGACTGAACAAATGCATTCCTATTTGGATATAAAAGGGACTCACTGATGCTGTCCTCTCATCCCATGACTTTATGATAAAAGAGGGCCGCTGGATCTCTACAGCACTGAATAGGTTTGGAGCAATATTGCACTGAGAAAGGAAAAGGAGGGCACTTCATTTCCTCTTATTGACTTTGGAGGCCAGTCTTGACGTCATCAATACAAAGAATTGTATTGAATTGTGCCTGTCTTTGTGTGTTCTCTGTGTCTGATTGCTAAGAGGTTTCACCTCTCAAGTGAATGTGACAATTTCTGCTAATTTTTTGTCAATAAGTGCAGTTGATTGGATCACATGGCACGTTCTACAAATATCATTAGGTGTTCTTTTACTTTATTTTTGTGAAACCAATGTACTTTGGTCTACAATGTTATCATGAACTAACAAGGAACATGAGTATTTTTATTAACTAACATTAACAACGATTAATAAAGTCTGTAACAAATGTAATGTTCATTGTTAGTTAATGTTAGTTAACTAACATTAATAGGTTTTGTAAAGTTTTTTGTAAAGTTATTGTAAAGTGTTACCAATATCATATAATGCAGTAATGATGATCATGCACTATATTAAATGTATGCATTTATTTGATGTAATAATTTTTTTTCAATTAAAATTAATATATAAATGTAAATCAGCACCGCATATACAATGATATTTACCTATATATTTTAGATCTTAATTTTTATGTTACAACAGTACTTATAATGCAGAATTTAAATCATTATTTACATTATAATGATAAGAATGAGGTGTTTTGAGTTACAGAGGGGTTTCAGAGGGATTATAATAATTCTAATAACAAGCTTAATTTTCTTTATGCAAAAAGTTCTTTTTTTTCCTTTTGATTTTGGAGTGAAATATGGCATGTTTTGGAGATTTTTGTCAGATTCAACCACATATAACAGTCTGAAGTGGATGAATGACATTTGAAGATTAAGCACATATTTTTCCTTAAGCTTACAGAAGAACAAAAATTTCAGTTCTATTTTGGAATATATCCGTGAGAACCACCATATAACAGAAAGTCTGTTATACCTCTCTCTCTCCTCCCTTTCTCTCTGTATGTGCTTTCCTTCTCTCTTCAGTAACAGAACCATTACAAAAATGGCCAGGAGTAAAGAACACTCATATTGTAGCAGAAGATTGACTGAAGAAAAATAAACAGATGTCCAATGCCTGCCGTATCATTGTCTCTCCCATGCGGTTCAACAAAACCATCGTGCCTTTGAGACAAACCAGCCCACCTCACAGTGCAAAACAGCATCTCTACAGGCCATTCACAAATCCTCTCATCAATGTGACATTTGTATGGAATGAGGAAACAACTGGCTCCATTCAGAGAGGAAGCTAAACAAGGCTGTCTACATTTGGTACACAGTATGTGATAAATACTGAATGAAAGCAAACTTAAAACCATGACGATGCAACAGGAAAATAAATGTTTGTCTGTCGATGTGGCCACATTCTGCTACTATGGCAACAAAGGCTACATGGACCACTGTGCAGGTGACTGAGTAATAGACAAAAATTTGCAGTGGTTTCCATGGCAATGTAATTGACAAAGCAGTTGATTTTTAAATAGTACTCCACAGCCATAACAACATTTTGCAGGTTTGCTAGGGGTAACCTGAATGAAATTATAGCTACATAAACTTACTTAAAAATCAAGTAGTAAAAATTCTGAATATATAAGGCAAAGTGGTTTGGGGGACATGATGCCCTCCCTTTATTCAGGAGCTGCAAAGTAGGGATGTGCAAAACTACATGTATTTTGGGTTGCCCGAATAGGAAGCAATAAATCATTACTTAATAATACAATAATATTATATGCAAATATAATAAAAATAAATATAATTAAATAAATTGAGACATACATTTAGATAAATTGTTATTTATTTTAAAATAATGTATTAATAATTTTAAAATAAATAATAATAATAAATAAAATTCTTCAATCACAGTTCAATAATTCCAGGTTTCAGGGTTGTCTTGGCATTCAGGATGCAGAGTGTTAAAGTAACTAAAACAGAAAGCAGAGGTTCCAAGATTATTTTTTATCTTAAAGGGATACTCCACCCCAATATGAAAATTTTGTCATTAATCACTTACCCCCATGTGGTTCCAAACCCGTAAAAGCTTCGTTCATCATCGGAACACAATTTAAGAGATTTTGGATGAAAACCGGGAGGCTTGTGACTGTCACATTGACTGCCAAGTAAATAACACTGTCAAGGTCCAGAAAAGTATGAAAAGCATCGTCAGAATAGTCCATCTGCCATCAGTGGTTCAATCTGAATTTTATGAAGCGACGAGAATACTTTTTGTACGTGAAGAAAACAAAAAATAACGACTTTGTTCAACAATTCGTCTCCTCTGTGTCTCTCCGTATCACTGTAGCGCCATTTTGGAGAATATCCACTGAACGCAAGCAGCGTACGCTACGTTTTGATTTGAAACAGCGCATCCTTGTGTCGCGGCTGACACAGAAGAGTGTACGCTGCTTAAGTGATTAATGACAACATTTTCATTTTGGGGTGGAGTATCCCTTTAACACAACAAGTGGTGGTGTTTAAAAGGGGGTGAATTTAAATCTAATTTTCAGAGAGGTTTTTGTCTAAACGTTAAATTAAACTCAGAATACTAATAAAAAAAAAAACAGAAATAAAGAAATATATAAAACTAGTTGACTTCATTAATCAACCATCTATGTATACTTTAAAGCATCAGGGTTTCACCTACCAATGCAGTAACAGAGCAGTACAGAGAGCAGTACGGAGACAGCCATGGCACTGAGGGCCGTGCACCTCCATGAGCAGTACTTAGAGGATTTCTTGAACTTGAAAGCGCTGCGGGAGAGTGTGTTGCGGGGCAGGGGCCGTGTGGGGGGCGAGTAGACTGCCCCCGTGGCCATGGTGTAGCCTGGCGTGGCCGTGCTGAACAGAGGAGTGGTGCCGGTGCCTGTCTTAAAGAGAAAGTGCCTGAGAGAGACAAATAGAGAGAGACAGAAAGAGAAAAGCCATGAACATTTTCTCTCGTTTTAAAAGATACACATTTTTTAAGTATTTTCTTTTCATTTTGCATTGAACAGCTTTAGGCGATAAAGATTAATGCCAAGAAATTGTAAGATCTGATACAGTTCATAAAATCAGAAACGGTTTTGTTATTTTTAAAGCATTTAACAATCACATCTATAACTATTCATGGAAAGCTTGGTATATTAACTCTAAATGAGTTTAAATGAATAGATGCAGTAGCACAGATTGTTCACAGAGTGGGGCTCAGTACAGGAAGTGAGGCGTACAGCCCTCTTAAACTGCCTTGCTCCTGTACGTCTCCCCCTAAGCTAGTGTCACCCTCTCCTGCTGATTGGCACTTAAAGTATGGTTGGCTAACAGAAGCCCTTGGCATGTGGTAATTATGCTGGGCAGATATTACCAGCACATTTATTAAGCCGGCCCTTTCTGTTTGCTTGAACACCACAGTGAAAATCTAGCCCTCTTCACTTTTCAACCTTTACCGAACACATCTCAATCAAAGACCTTGTGTTTGACTTCCCTTAAGCCTGCTGTGTTTCTTTACCCAAATGAAAGTGGAGAAATGGGAAACGTTGGGTGCATGTGAGTGTGAGTGGTACTTTCCACTATAAATCTGGAATCATTTGATATGACTTGAGAGGCGGAGAAAAAGCTTTTTCTAATTAAAAAACACCAACGGTACTGTTTCCTCAGCAGAAGAGGGGAAAAAAAACGAACTTCATTATTTTTAGCATTTAAGATCACATTATCCCAGGTGTAGGACTGTAGACATATGGGAAACCAGGACTATAAATATAAGGTTTTGAAACAAGTCCAAATACATAAATAAATGTGCATTTTGTTTGTGCAGTTGTTTTGTATGCTGGTTTCAAATTCATAGATCACTGAAATTCTAGAATATTCTCCTATGCAATTTTAAATATATATATATAAAATGAAATTTTAAATATATATCAAAGTTACATAGAATGATTAAGTCAATACATATTACATACAATAAATAAATAATCTAAGACAGTCATAAAATGAGATTTTAATAAATTTTTTATTGTCAATAACTGATAATTCCCCCCCACACTTTTTCCATGAATTGGGTTTCATTTTAGTTTTACTGTTTAAATTTAGCTCAAAACACCTAATAATGGCCAACTGCCAACTTTCCTCATTTAATGTTTATAATAGTTTAATTGTTTTTCGTAGTCAAAACGTATGTTAGATATGCATCTATAAAGAATTGACTGTCAAAAACAAACTACAGTAAACAAATATTTACTGTAGTTAAAAAAGTGAGAAAACTATCCCTAGTCTATATTTAGGCCTAGACATAACACTCTTCCACCACATGAATTCCCATCCGCTTGTTAAACAAAACAACTCACAAGCTTGCAGAGCTAAGCAATTCTCTAAAACTGCATGGTTGTCTGTTCGATTGCATTCTTTATGTTGACAGAATGACCCATGAAGACTGAACAATGGAACAAACAGATGATTCGAGCTGCGATATCAAATAACACTGAGCACTAAATCCAATTAGCGAGACAATTCGACAATGTCTCTGCATTCTAATGCAGCGACAGAGAGAGATAGAGACAGAGAGAGAGAAACTGTGCTCTTGTTTTAGTGCAGTAAACAGTTGCTGCCAACTCACTTTTACTCTAACATTATCAATCAACCCAATCAAAGCCAAGATGCTGTGCAAGGCAGTCAGGATTTAATCCAGTAAAGCAGGAATATCAATTAAAGAATTAGTCAAATTAAAATATTAAAGGCAGTGATTTATGCAAGTGGCGAATCGATTAGCATATTAGTGGATTTTTATTGCAACTTAATTTAGAGCAATTATTCCTAAGCAACTACCAGTGTCAGAAGCGGCTGCCAATCAAGTGCCTCTTGATAATTTGCATCCACTGGCTAACCGAACAAGGGAAGAGATATACATTAAGAGGTTTGGCCAGTGCATGACTGCTTTGTCTAAATTCGGTTGGCTCAATATGGGACTCTGGCCATTTGGTTGGCTGAGCACTGGCCTTCTGTTTGGGGGTGTCTGGGTTGGGGTGGGGGGTCTGGAGATTTAGCACTTTTTGTTGACTCAGTGTTGGGCTTGGCATCAGCAGCTGGCACCAAGAGAAGACTCAGGAGCACATACCCGTCCCCATAGCCGCCCTCGTGGCACACGGGAGAGAACACATCCATCTCTATTAAGTTGTCATGCCTGTTTTCAAGAACTGCTTGCTTTGCTAATTTTCTACATGAGAAAGACAAACAATTAGAATTAAGGTCGTCAGTGCTTTCTGGTGATGAGACAGTCAAGGTATTTCTAATTATGAGTTTGGCAGCAAATCCAGAGAGAAAGAGCTTCCCAGACGGCAGACAGTCATAGCTGAATGTACACCGAATGAAAGACAGACCCACACACATGAGAAGACTCATAAAACAAGTATACTGCAGTTTTATGTTCAATGTATCAATCCGTTTTCCTCTAAATGGAAGCACTAACATGCTCTGATATGGAGGAATATTTATTACGGTGAATAGAGCCACAGAATTACTCAAGCACACTGAATGACTGTAAAGTGTTATTGGTAGGCTCTCTACATCCTCTATGAGCTAACTGTGAGAATATATTAATTACTATACTTCCTCTACGGTGAATAGCATCCTCTGAGCGAGGAATGGGAATCTCTAGAGATGCACATAATCTGAAGCAGTGGTTTTCAATTGGTTGGTCATGACCCTGAAATGATAGGGCTCAAGGCAGCAGGAAAAAAGCAATGCTAAAGGTCAAAAATAAAATGCAACTAACCATGTAATTGTGTATTGTTAGGATATAAAAAAGGCTCATCAACTTTTATGAGGGAGAAAACAATTCCCATATCTTTTGTTGTTGACATCGAAGGCCGTGTGTGCAACATATTCAAATGTATTTTAATGAAAATGTATCTGTGACTTGTTAGAAGCAAGTCAAACTAGGCAGATGCCAACATGGAGAGGTTTTGTGACAAGCCCTCATCCTCAAAAACCTACAAAGGTAAAGGTAAAGGAAAATATTATCCAGAATACATTAAATACTGGTTCACTTTGGTTTGTGCTGACCACAATGTGTTTATGCAGTGAGTTACTGGCTGCTGAGACAAAATAATATATTTTTCAGTGTCTGAAGGATGTTTTTGCTTATTTATACATGCTAAACTATTTTAGCATTGTGCCAGTCAAAGTCCAAAAAGTGAAACCATATGAGAAACACTAATCTAAAACCATGGGGCAATGTGGAGTTCTTCATTCCTCTCCACAAATTTTCTTGCAGGTTGAAAACTGATGCATGGATTCCAAGAGTAATTCAGTACGACTTTGCACATGACCTCTTGGTGTTCCCACATAACACCACCATGACCTTCGCTCTAACCAACTCACCTTGCTGACCTCATTGCAGGAGTTCAATTCTTTACTTAAAGTTTTTACAACAAGTGGCTTGCTGACATGTAACTCAATAACACGACTTGACCATATGTTCCTAGGTCTTGAATTATACTTTTTGAATTACGCTTTTATACAAACCACACAACAGCTTTTAAAATGATTTATATGTAGTTTCAAATTCATTTTTGCCCTACCTTTCAAGACAAATGAATATAAAAAGAGATAAAGACAAACTCTGGGAAATTTAACATTGGAAAGACCAATTTAAGTCACTTTGTCATGAAAATTCTAAATATTAATTACATATTATTATGACTGCTGACACTTTCAATTCACTCTATCCTCACAGTTCACATGGCGTATATAGTCATATAACATTGGGTTTCATCGCAGTTAAAAGAATCATAGCAATAAGAATAAATGTGGCGCGGGCTTGAAAATAGTTTTGAATTACTTTGAATGCCGAGATTAGACTCTTAGTAAAATGTTAATACAAAGTACATACAACACCCACTTAACAAGAGATAATAGAAGACATGTGATGGAAACCAGAGATAAAATCTCCAGCTGTAGTATCTGTGGACTGACTGGGGCATCTAGTGTTTGGGTAAGACAGGATAACGTTCCTTTGACACAGAAGACAGCGAACAGGGATTTCGGAGCATGAGGGACGAGATAACCATTGTTAATTGATTACAGCAGGCATGACATCAGGCTGGAAATTGCTATGCTAATCCATGTATCTCCTTTTGCGTTTGTCATCCTCTGACAAATGCCTTCACAGAAGATTTAGGAAGAGGGAACGTGTAAAAGAACTGGAAAATAACTTGACAATGCTAATATACGGTGGCGTAATCGAAGATAGTCTACTTAAAAGAGAATATAAATTCTGAAATTTTCAGACATGGAATTACTATATGACACAGTGAAATGTTTAGATGAACTGCTGAAGGTGGAAACTAAATTTCTACTCTTCTGACAAAGGACCTACGACCTTCAGAATTAATACACACATTTCTTTTATATCAGTTTTATGCTTCATTCATGCTAACCAACAGCCCTGTGCTTCACACTTTCTAAAAAACTATATAGTTTTTAGACCAACTATAGACCAATATCAAATCTTCCTTTTATAGGAAAGATTATTGAAAAGGTAGTCTTTAATCAGCTGAACAACTATACCTAACAGCCTGTGTGTTGAACAAATTCTGAATTGTTCCTCTAATGATATTTACGTAAAACAGCCACTAAATAACGTCAAATGATAACTTATCCCAGTGCAAGTAAATTAGCAAAACGTGTTTAAGGACTGGATTGTGCAATTTTCTCCAAAGGCTAATGCAGTCTACTGATTTTTTTTTTCTTCATTTCTTCAGCCAGCATCTTCTGCCTCAAACAAATCAATGGACTTGTTCAGGAACACATGTTGTGAAGCGTTTGCATTTCCACTCTCTGCCAGTACGTTTTCGTCCATTTACTAGTGCTGTAATGTTTTTCATTATTTTCATCTAAACTTCACTGTTGTGCCTGTCGGGGTGCTGGATGCTTTGTTTATTTTAACTCTAAAAGTCAGTCTGTGTCATGTAAACAGTTGTTAAGTAAGCTCCATGTCTAACTTGGAACACGGCACCTTTTGAACCAACGCTGCCACGCAGACATGCAACAATTTGTGCTTTCGAGCGTAACTGAACGAGTGTGTTTTCAGAGTGTTTATCTGATACTATACCTAACAGCCTGTGTGTTGAACAAATTCTGAATTGTTCCTCTAATGATATTTACGTAAAACAGCCACTAAATAACGTCAAATGATAACTTATCCCAGTGCAAGTAAATTAGCAAGACGTGTTTAAGGACTGGATTGTGCAATTTTCTCCAAAGGCTAATGCAGTCTACTGATTTTTTTTTCCTTCATTTCTTCAGCCAGCATCTTCTGCCTCAAACAAATCAATGGACTTGTTCAGGAACACATGTTGTGAAGCGTTTGCATTTCCACTCTCTGCCAGTACGTTTTCGTCCATTTACTAGTGCTGTAATGTTTTTCATTATTTTCATCTAAACTTCACTGTTGTGCCTGTCGGGGTGCTGGATGCTTTGTTTATTTTAACTCTAAAAGTCAGTCTGTGTCATGTAAACAGTTGTTAAGTAAGCTCCATGTCTAACTTGGAACACGGCACCTTTTGAACCAACGCTGCCACGCAGACATGCAACAATTTGTGCTTTCGAGCGTAACTGAACGAGTGTGTTTTCAGAGTGTTTATCTGAAAAGATGCAGCACTATAGTAGGATTTACAAGCATCTGTGAGTGTCATAGACCCTACTGACTGTGTGTGGTCCAGTGTGGTCTTCCTCAGTTTGATCTCAGGACATAAACAGAAATTTTATCTCTCTTGCTAACATCTACAGAAATCTACATAATGCTTTGTCAATATGAGTGGACGACCGCCAAATTCATTTTGAGGTTATGGTGTGACCACTGAGACAGAGAGAGAAGAACAAAAACAAATAACAGTGTGTAAGTTGAAAAAGAGACAGAAAGCAAAACAATGGGGGTGAACAACAATGGACTAAAGAGCAAAATCGTGCTGTGGTTGACACGACAAAACGTTAAAGAACAAGACGGCCACATAGTAACAAAAAAGTGAGTGGTGAGGAAAACAGAGAAACAGAGGGAAAGAACATAAAGGAAGTGTAGCTGTTGGATATTCCTGTTTTGGGACCACTGTGTCCATGTGAAGGGCCATGAAGTGAACTCAAGCGTGGCGGTGCTGAGGCAGGTGTGTTATTGCTGGATCTCGTAACACTGTGTTTGCACTGGCGCTGGTGCTCATAAAATATAAACTCAAAATCAAGCCACTCATTAATACTCGCATTCCTGTAGACCTTAGTCAGGGTACGTGTCATTTTTAATTTAATGCAACTGAATACAAGGCTGTGAGGGAGATGTACAGTCTGTTAATATCTACATTTTACAAACAATTTTTGTCCACGGTTGTCACAATACCAATATTCTAGTAGTCTACACCGATAGAAGTGAAATTTCACAATTCTCAATATCAATTTTAATACCACAGCAAAACCTATTAACATTATTAATTAAATAAATGCTATTAAATTTAAATATCAAATATAACCATTTCTCAATAAATGAACATAAAACACATTTTCCAAGTAATCAATTAAACAAATATTATAAGAATCATAAATATAACAAATATAATAAAATAAATATATAGTACTTGTTAGAAGATTAATATTAATAACATTATTTGAATAATATTTTCAGCAAGAGGATGCCTCTAAGAACACATTAAGGTCTAATGCATAGATCCAATATTTTGCTTTTTTATATTATTTTAGGACAAACGGACTGTATTTACATCAATACCTTTTCAAAATGCACATTTTCATTGAGAAGTGAATTTGACCATTAATGCATGAAGCCGTATTAGGCACTGTCTGTACTGCAGTATTCCTATAGAAAGGTACTGTTTTACTGTACATTTACATTTACATTTATTTCAGTATGAACTTGGAACCATTTACATCCCGAGCATTTTCAGAAAGACAATTTTCAATGTGTTGTTGGCTTGATACCATTAGCCACTGAACAGATTGTACATATATCCCTCAAAGCCTCACTCTCATTTACATCAAATTTAATATTCTGTCTATCCGGACTAAGGTCTATGGCTTTCAGGCTGTGGAGGGGAAGTGAGGCTGTGTCTCTTTCTCTTGACTGCCTTTTATCAAGTATTTTTAAAGAATGGCAGTGAGACATTAAGCACAATGACAGCATCACTTACCAAGTGCTTCAAGAAAGTTGAACGTTTCTCTCTCTGCACTCACCCCCACTTTGTCTGTCTTTGTGCTTATATCACGCAGGATGAATGAAAGGAGTGCTAGATGGTAACATCGTTTAATGGGGGAGGCTTAGTCATTATATATACAGTGTCTCTAGAAAGAGTAGATCAAAAACAGAGAGAGGCCATTATGGCGCTAACGTGCAAACCCCCGAAACAAAGCGTTCCCTTCTGCTAGTGTTTAAAGACCCTTCAGTGTATCCTCCGAGCTTACAGCCTCACTGATTTATGGGGGAAACACAACCAAGCCGTATCCTCCCCTAAGCTTGGCGAGGCCTCAGTCACTCACATTCTGGGATGTTAGCAAGCAGAGTCAGCAGAAGCACTTTTTTGACGCTGCCATATTATAAACCGCTTTATGAGACTGATGATAAACAGAAATAAAATTTTGACTGATGCTGGTCAAATATTCCTCTATGTGTGATGAATGTAAATTATACTTTGAGGCTTGTTATGTCTATGCTATGATGTCTACTAGTTAACTGGATAGTGGCTGCATTATAAATAAAATCCCTGTAGTCACACTGCTTTGAGACAGATATAAAGGTCACGTGTCCTGCTGTATGAGTAATGTCAAATAAAGGACCTTTCCATAACACAGGTCACACTTTGGGATGCAACTGTGCTGGTGTTTGCGATTGCGTAACTGACCTACTCTCCAGCGGCACATTGCTGCCCAGGACCCAGCTGTCCTGCAGCGGCACTGACTCGGGTGTGGTTTGCAGTTCGGCGGGGAGGGCGGCCGGAGGGGCCGGGCTCACGTTCCTGCGGCTGCTCAGAGAGTTGTGGTTCAGCGCCGTCACCAACGGCTGCTGCTTGTGCGGGGGCGGCACCGGTGGCAGCGTGGACTGGCCCTGCTGGTGCTGATTGGACGGTTGCTCTGTGGGAAGAATCAAATGGAATTGGGTTAACCAATGGCAAACCGGTGCAGTAATGCTGTGCAGATGTAAGCAGTTGTCCTTGGTAATTAATCGTGGCAAATGTGTCTGGATGAATGGGCTTTTGCCAAAGAACATCTGGGACATATTACAGTAGGGTGATGATGACTTTAACTATTTAGTACCCTTCCCCACCAGCTGTCGAACTGATGACAATGACAAATATGCACGCACCCGTACACATATAAGCATATGATTGAGACGACTGAACATCCGCTTTCACATGTGCCGGGACCCTGGCGGCACTTATCTGTCAAAATTGCAGTAAATCCAGCCTTGGGTTTGTTTGGGAGTGCACAATGTTAACGAGAAGTGTACAGGGCAGCAGTGTTTGGGTAGAGGAGCTTCATTGCCTGAGCTTAAAGTGCAGTCACATTATAGATAGTTCAATGAAATTTCATTGGGTAAGAAAGTTAATTGTCTATTGTCAATAATAGGAAGCACAGCTCACACAGAATTCAAACCAAACAGCTTTACCAAATTGAACGTAAGTGAATCTGCGTGGGGAACGGATTTCTATTGCGATGACTTGATTTTGCTAAATTTCAAAATCCCTAGAAAAACTTCTTCAACCTTAAATCTAGTTGCAACCGTTTATTTGTACTATTTTTACCATACAGGAAGTGGCCTAGACAAAGGTAGTGACACAATGTGCATTTACTCATTACTTCCCCTTTTTCTTGGCATCTTTCTGTCATTGTCTTGTTTCCTCCTCTCTCCTAAAGGCTTCATGCAGTGAATGAGACTTGCTGGGTCTCATTGCCAGAGGCACATAATCAGAGCCTTAAAAGCACCTTTGCAAGCTCCTTAACACACAAACTGGTCATAGCGCAGATGTGAGAAAAAGGGGAGGTTTTAAGGACTGATTAAGCTGTGTACTTAGTATTAACCTACAACTAGCTACGTCTATTTCAAGTCAGGGATCTTAAGTGGCATTTTTCACACTGCAAGGGATCACGTCCTTCTTTAAACCTCTGGTGAGTCAAATCTAGAATGAGAAATTGAAAGGCAGTGCAAGAGATTATGTGCTGTAACTTGAGGCCAAAAAATATTTTTTTCCTTGAACACAGATAAGATGAAACACAATGATATGTATGCGAAGCAGCCTTTCCAGAAAGACAAAATCATTGCTCAACTTACTGCTCTCTGCTGTGTTACTCATATGGCTGTCTTTGATGGTAGTTTGATACAGCAAGGTTGCTATAAGAGCTAAGCAGAATGACAAACAGCGAGCAAGTGAGTGTGCACTGCGGTTGAGAAGCTTCTGGCAGATTTGGACTGCAGCAGAAGAATTCCCTTCTGGTGAGACAGGGCCATTTTGTGCCGTCTTTGACCTTTTCTAGTGCTGCTTGTATGTGTCTGTTTCATTCACTCTCATATCCTGTTCATCTCTTTGAAACATCTACAGGCTTGAAGACACTCATGCTAGCAGATTATAATACAGTAGTTTATAAGAATGGCTTTTGACAAGTGCTCTAGACTTATTATCTGCTTGCACCTTCAAGAAGAACCCAACTGTTGCCATTGTGTTGTGTTAACCTCCATGTGTAAACTGTAATCTTACCCAAAACTGTGTGTATGCATGTGTGTGTGTGATAAAAAAACATTCTTTAAAAAAATATTTAAAGGATTATACATCTTACATTAGTACTGGGCAAAATGATGTTAACACTGTTAACATGGTATTTTCCAAATAATATTTTCATAGCTTATTTTGCATTTATTACCTTTATAACGCCTTTATTTAGCATTTTATTTACTTTTTCATTTTGTTTTAAAATATTCTTAATATTTTTTTCTCACATAGTAAAAAAGTAACGTGTAAAATATACAGCAAAATTGACAGAAGTTTGAAACCCCCCTGCTGTAGATTGTTCAAGGTTGCCAAGCAACATTGGAACTTGCCACATTATTATAAATTTCAACAGATGTGCGGTCACAGGTGTGCAAGTATGCATACATTTTACTATGGTTTCATGAAAAGATTCAGAGGTTGAAATTCCTGCAAAAATAAGACTATTGTAGTCTTAAGATTAAGAAAAAATAAGATGTATACTGTTAGCGTGATATATACGATTTTTGTCAAACAGCCCACCCCTAATGATGATGTGATTCTAGCCCGGCGGTTCAGGTGTGTGTGGCTGATCATGAATCAAAGAGCTCAACAGAGGATGTTCTGACCACCCCCGCAGTATACTGGGATACAGTGTGCTTTCTTCAAGTAAAAATGTGATGTGCTGAGCGAATGCAGGAGAGTAAGAAACTTTTGCTGAGAGGCTGAAAGAAGAAGACAGGTGTGGTGTGGATTGCTTAAGGCAACACACAGGTACATGAGTGCAAATCTGTTGGGAATCACAACATATCTAGCTTCAAGCTTTTGTCTGAGGTCTGTACACATGTTCTGTATCTCCCCTAAATGTCATCCACACAACCTCCCCATCCCCCCCAAAATGGATTGATCTATTCTTTGACCAAAACAAAACAAGTACCTGAAACCCAGAGGTGGTGAAAGTGCACAGACAGCTTTCAGATTGGATTCTCATAATGTCCTCGGGGAATGCTTGCATACATTTCCGTAGTCTAGGTGTACACGTTCCATTGGGTCCTATCTACTTTGCAGCTGCCGGCTTCAAAGAGCACAACAACAAAATCAAAAACAATGGAGGGAGAGGAAAGAGTGAATGCTGAGCCTGTTAAAAATCTATTTTCTAGCCTCCTTTGCCACCGATGGCGCATGGTACCATTCACTCCCATGATAATCAGACTGTCAGGCATACAATTGTTGTGGGAAAGGCACTGTTCTGGACTCTGGATCGCTATTGGCCCCAAAAGTAAACACAACTCTATATGCTTCATGTGTCATTAGGCCTGGGGAAGATACACTTTCAAATAGGTGTGGCAGAGGTTTAGCCCAAAGAACTCAAAGGTACACTGCAGCTCACAGGAGTGGTCTGATCAAAGCTTCTCAATGCCATTTAAAAGGAAAAATTCCTATAAATATTCCTAATGTATTAAGCAAATCTGTAAGATATAGACTCTGACATACACAAGGTAAACATATCTTGTGCTGAGGTTTAAAGCTGGTATCTATAGGTGCTATTTAGGTGTGCATTTCATAGTTAATATACTGAGTATAAGTGGAATGCTGCACTGGTCAATCAGATTGGCAAAAAAAAATAAATTCCAAGTATTGCATTAAATATTAAGACCTGTTTTCAGAGAATATATGTGACATCCTATTATTGTGAGATGACATAAAGACATAGTGGGCATCTTTATTTTTGATAAAGTCTAATCTTTTATAATGATATCTTAATGTTTTAAAGGGGTAATAGGATGCTATTTATATATATTTAAAGCAATTTTTTTGGGAAATGTAGAGTAGGGCTTGTTGTTTGTCATGTCTCCGATCACAAATGCAGACATGGTTTTATGTTTACGTGGCGCGATGCAACGACAATAAGAAGGGAGTATGACAGCCAAATTCAAATGATTGCATCTCAGCAATAGTTTGGAATAGAAAGAAGGCTGGAAGAGTTTTTATTGCATTAATTATAATGAAAATATTATCAGGCAACACTGACAAATTGTTTAAAAGTTTGTTTAAAACTAAATTTAGTGTATGCTTACAGCAAGAAAATAAGTATATATGTTTAAATATATTTACTGGAAAGCAAGAATGATTAAGAAAATTGGGTTTTGCAGTGCAGAACCAGACCTATAATTGATAAAGTAAAATAAAAGTTTTCACAGCATTTTAATCCTAGAAATTAGAGTTAAGACCTGAAGTCACTGAGTAGCCTGGCTAGCAGGAGATGAATGAAATAAAGCAAGAGTAAATGAAGTGAGGGAGCAGACGATCAAGTGTGCTGATCTGACACACTCAACATTTTCAGCAATTGCTCACCTTATCTCCATTTAATATCAGGGGAGAAAGGTACATAATCTATTTAGTTTTACAATAGACTTGCAGACACACACACACACACACACACACACACACACACACACACACTCTCAAACAACAAAATACTGTGGGGCGACAACTTTATGGCTGTTCTCTGAGACAGCTACCCAATACATCTCAATTACGCTGCCATATGCTTGCAACACAGGTGCCATTCCACAGCGTGGATGGACATTTGTCACACAGTAGGCCCTGTTAGCCCCATCGTGTCTGTTGCTCTCCAGGGACTCTGCATACAGAACCTTTACATGACCAGCAACACTGACTTAAGCCCACTCTCTGACCTCCAGGTCTGACCCCTCTCATAAACCCATCTATGCTCAGACGACAGCCTCTGTTGATGGCAAAGTGTAACCCAGCCTGTGGCTGGGAGAACGTAGTCGTTGGAGAAAAGGCCTGGTTATGTCAGTCCCAGACGATGGGATGGGACAGATGCAGGTTTTATGGCACCGAAATGTGATCACTGATGGACAACCCTGACTGCCGTAACTCGTGGGACGTGGCCCGTCATGCTCGTGTGCAGCGAATATTTTAAGAGCCCTTTTGATTAGGATTTCACAGGCAGACTTGAAATTACAGCCAGTGCAATTTATCTCTTAATGGGGTTGAGTGATAGCTATTCAAAAAAAAAAAAAAAATGAAAGTGCAGCTTATCTGTACCAGCACATCTCAGGCCCGAGCTCGTATTTCAGAGCTGGTTCATCAGCAGACATCTGACCTGTAGTGGATGCATGTGTGCGGGAGACAGTGTGTGCAAGGAAACGGAAATACTAATGCCCTGACACCCAGAGTGTCAGTGCTTATATCCGCGCTGTCAAACTCTAAATTACCTCACATGTCCTTCACCCACACCTGTCAGAAAGCTGGGAGCACTCAGAGAGGCCTGTCATATCAAACATCCACCCCCCTTCTAGTCTTTTCTCAGTGCTCATTTTGTAAACCTTTCCTCCTGAAAGAGGTTTTACAAAAGGAAAG